ATCAAACCATTTTATTTAACTTGGTTCATAATTCACGCATTTGTTTGTTTTCTTTCAATGGAATCCTACTAAAATCCTGTGATGAGTAAGGCTGGAAGACCACCTACTTAAACTAACACAATCCTTTGTTTACATAATAAGTTCTTGTTTTTTTATTGTATGTAAAGCATCACCTACCCTTGAATAACCTATCCTTGTTGAAGCACCTTTTTGGATCCATATGATGAAAGGAAGCATCACTATGTTTAATAATATCTTCTTTCATCTGACCTACTGCCATATTTTTCCTGTCTTTCCTGCGTCTTCTTTTCATGCATATGCAATGTAAAAATATGTAGCACTACAGAGAGGTTAAGGTAGGAGAGAATAAGACAGCAAACTAAGATGTACCTGTGTAATAAACAACCTCATCCCAGCCGTCATGCTGCCAGGCCAAGTTCCTGGTGTTTTCTCTGGACTGAAGGTCTTTGTAAGCTGAAAGATGAGGAATAGAAGATAATGTATATAATACATAATGTACATTTCCTGACAAGTAACACAAACACTTGGTGGAAAAATATCTATGGGACATCCATCCATCCATCCATCCATCCATCCATCCATTCATCTTCTCCCGCTTGCTAAGCTATTGTATATGTATATAAAAAGACATTTTGCAATCATTTGTAATACGGTGATGTATCTGTAAATGTCTTTAAAATGCAAACTTGGTACCTAAACTCTGAAACATGCTCACCCCATAAGTGGTGAACTGTGTACAGCTTTCCAATCTGTGAGAAAAAGCCTCCCACCGCCTCTTGGTTCTGCTGGCGGAACTCAATGGCACGCGCCCTGCAGAGCACCAAAGAGTTATGATACATAAAAAAACATTTACAACATTTAATTAAAGGGTTGTATTGATTTAACCACCAGCCTTAATTAGAAACCTGCTTTAAAGTTCAAAGGAATCTGACCTTCTCAGATATCCAAATCATTTATTTAAATCACAAAATCAAACTTCCTCTTTCAAAACCTTTTTTAAAGCATGTTTGTTTTATTATCTTAGCAGGCAAATTAATATCAAATTAATATCCGATACGTACATATATTATAAACAGTGTACAAAGTTAAATTATGCTTGACATTTACACATTTTGTGAGATATATCTTGTCATGCTTAGGAGTCATGCATAGATTGTCTACCCAAAAAGTACCGTTGACTGATATTCATCTGCTACAATCTGTGAAACCAATAAAATAGTAGTGAGGAACTTTTTAAATGGTAAATACTGTAATAATGGTAGTTCTGCAAACACAAAAACACTTGTGAAAAATCTTATGGGCTCTCAGACTAACTTTCTGAAAACAAATCCAATTTGATGACTTTCTTATGCGATATAAAAAAATGACCTACCAGTAATTTCCCCACTCGATCATCGTCCCGGGCTGAAATATGAAGGTGAAGGGTGGAGTGGAAAATAAGTTATTATATTTCACATATTTGTGCATAATGGGAGGAAGATGGTACATTCCCTTTGGAGTTACCCTGAGTTGGTACGATCGGAGCTCATAGATGTTGGGTCCTGGGCGGGGGACGGGCTCGTTCCAGAAACTGAACTCCAGCAGCAGCTGGTTCCTACGAGACAGCAGCATCTTCCCCCGCTCCTTCCGGTAGTCTGTAAACTCCTACAGCGACGACAAACAGCAAACACATCACTCTGTGAATCTGCCTCAGTCTACCAACAAAAACATCTTTGACAATATTAATCTGTGGTCAGGGAGCAGCGGTAGAGTGACACGAAGTCAGCTACAGTACTAGTTGCAGAATATCAATTAAGATCAGAACATTGATGAGATTAAACAATAATATACCTAAGGGATAAGGCAGGACCGGGTCCATTACCTGCACATACAAATGTAATATGTTTTAAAGATCATTCCACCTACAGTAAATTACAATCACACCACACAGCTGGAAAATGTCACATAAAGATGGTGAAACATATCGGTGGATAAATGATCTGTAGATATACTTTTGGGGGTGCCACCTGCCATTAAACTAATCCGAGCACCCGTTACCTTATTCTGCCTGAGTTTGCTCATGACTTCAGTGAGAGCCGGGTATCCTCCCCGATATCTCCACAGGTGAACTAGAATAGAGGAGCAGAAGAGCCAAAATAAAATAATGCAGCTCTCTTTGAAAAATATATTATTTTACATTAACAACTGTAGATTCCTCATTTATCTCTTGAGACCACCTGTGATCAGTTTCTCTGAGCCCCAGGGTGCTTCACTTTCTTCTTCTTAACATGACTTCAAAAGCACAGAAATATTTAATTTATCATGAAAAAAAAAAAAAAAAAACTTAACAAGCTGGAATCGTTTTGATTGTTAAAGGACTTTTCATACAATTCATAATTTGATGATTGGTTCATCAACTGATACTTTGAACACTACTTTATGGTCTGTGATTTTTAATGTATGTTTTCTGTTTTGAAAAGGAAATGTGTAACTTTCATCCACAAAAGGGGTTTATTACTTGCACAAGTGTAAAGTAAATGCAGCTTGATGCTCTTACCAGCCTGATCCTGTTCTCCGTACCACGTGTTCCAGGTGCCCACCAGCTCACAGGGGTATTCAGGGTCAGCATGAATGGCAGGCAAGATTTCCGCACTAAAGTTAAACACAACACACACATAAATGAGCAAAGACCCGTACTGTGTCAGCCGCGTGACAAGACATCTGATTGAAGGCAATTAAGTGACAAAGGCTTCTTACCAAAGTTCGTTGTAATCATCAAGGCACTCAGGCTTGACATTGTGAACTGCAAAGAAAGAACAAAACATGAGTCAATAATACAGAATCCAAGCATACTATAAGATTGTTCAACTAAAAAAAAAGTTATCCATCTTTGACAATGGTAAACTTGCAGTCAGGGTAATATTTTGCAATGTACCACTATTCCAATCACAAACAATACATACATTGTATTTTGTACAGATTGTTGTCTTCCTTCTTGGCGAGCAGATGTGAGTGAGCGTCTTTTCGAGGGTCGACCTTTCGGACAAACAGAGACTTGATCCAGCTGTCTTCACCAAAACCTGAGAGGCTCCTGAGGTGAGAAAAAAACAAAACACAAACGTTTGTACTCTACTGTCGTTTTTAAAGTCACTGACACATCTAATGATTTGGCTCTTCGGTACACTGCTCTGCTCACATCTCAGGTGGAGATTGCTTTCAGATCCTCCTTTTCTCAATAAAACAACAACTGCCTAATACCTGTCAAATGTTTTAAGTTTAAAAATACATGAAATGTTTTCTATCCCAGGGTCGTTTACTGTCTTTTAGTTAGTAGGTGTTTAATGTACGCTTTATTCTTTTGTTTATGATTAATCTTTTTTGTAGGTTTGTATTCTGCTGTTCAGAGCCACATCTATACATCAGCAGATCAGGGTTGCAAATAACGAATATTAGGTTAAACATGTGAATCAGCGTTTTAGAAGCCCAAGATGATGTACTCAAATTTGGTTTAATTGTTAGTCAATTATGTCGTAAAATAAGAACTTTGCACAAATATATTTCGACTCTTTCATTATGAAGTAACTCCAACTCTAAGGCCAACAACAGAGAAGGCTAAGCTGTAAATACTGCACATAAACCTGAGGATTAGTCAACACAGACTCATGCGCAGCTGTCCCACATTAGGATATCGTTTTCGGATATTAAACTACATTTTAAAGTGCCAACAAGACCTCTATGCAATGGTTACCTACAGTTGTTTATAAAAAAAAACACTCCTTTGACAGTTTGCCAGCTGACGAAAAAACTGTTACCTTACACAGTGCATTAAAGGCAGATTTAAATAACATTGCATCGCAGTTTCAGATGTAAACATTGCACACAGCTTGACCTTATCTTCAGTATATGGTTAGGACACACTACACAACTGCTGCAGCATGAAACTGGGTCACACACTTATCAACACAAGTTGTGCTGTGCAGAGATGAATTTATTGTGACCTTGAAGTTTTGGACTGACACAAACAGAAAGTTGTGATTTTCCTGCGAATGATAACTATAACTCAACACACACAATTATGAAGTGTGCCATAATAGGTGCGTGCACAAGTTGCTTTACAACTTAATGGCAGGGTAATAATTAGACCAAAGTTAGCAACTTTAGAGCTAGAGCTAATGCTAGCTACGTTACACGGAGATCTAAACGTAAGCAACGTCCATACGTTAGCTTAGCAACCTAGCCTACCGAACTTTTGTCATTTGGGTGAAACTTTACGAAAGATAAACGCAATACAAGAAGTATGTATGCATTTGTATTGGTGCAGAACAGTTGCAAAAGTCTAACCTTACGAGAACCGTGACCTGCCCGTTTGTATGTAGCCCATTTTTCGTCTGTTTGAGGCCTTTGCCCACTCTTTGAAGGACTCGAGCCGCCATGTTGCCTCTGAGAGCTGCTGTCAGTTGGAGGTTGACTCTGCAGACAGGACTGTTCCCAGAGGAGCTGACGTTACCACATTAACAGCGCTTTAACTTTGTGTATCTGATTTACGGTGTGATGTTAGTTTAATAACCAAGAGGCATGAAGATAGAGTTGAAGAAGTGGCTATTATTACAGCAGTTGATCAAAGTCATGAATTCGATTTTCAATCCTGCTCTACATTAACGTAAATGTGCTGTTTTGCAAGTTTCTATGCATTACAACATACCTGACTAAAAAATAAACTATGTTGCTATTTTATAGTTTAATTCTACTTCTAAATAAAACTTTTTTTTCAAAAAATAAAAGCTTTACCCACATTTTAGAACATTTTCATTCATTGCTGTATCATACTAAATACATGCCAATTTCAAAGTAAATGTATGAAAAGAGCATCTTCTGTTTTACAAAAGACTTACAGAATACATGATTATTATAATAGTAATGGCACGTCAATAATCTATAATCAACTAAAAATAATTTGAACACTTGTTGTATACACAATTTTGACAGATATGAACACCATGCATTCTCATTGTTGTTTTATTGTTAACTCCTCAGAAATGTTTTTTAAATTAAACTCCGGTAACAAAGAAAATGCATTTTCCACATTAATTGAGATATTTATATTGATGACTGGTTTATACATTTATATTTACAATGGACACCTGAAACATAATTGTAATTGCAGAGGGACATTTAAACTAACATTACTTCATAAATATAAGGCAGTTTTTCATCATGAAGTAGGATTTTGTGCAGGAGGGGAATCAGCTCCACTGGGGGCGGTAGAGATGTTCAGCTCCTGCAGTTTTTCTGATAACGTCTGGTCCTCTCCCAGGATAAGTGGCAGGTCAGTCGGAGTCTCAACAAACTGTGTTCCTTCAACGCTCATTCCTGTCAGTGGGTCAACTACCCGACCTACTTTGTACACTATCTCAGCAAGTTCATGCTTCACATGTTTGGACCTGGCCTCTGGCAGAGCCTTGAGAAGAACGATGTCTCCCTCAGTGCACTGTCGCAAAGCATCATGGGCAAAGTATGTTTTCCTCTTGTTGTAGTACTATGGAGAAGAACAAAACCATATAAATACACAATCAATGTACAGTACAGTACAGTAATCAATTACCATTCTTAAAGTAGGTAAAGTGGTTATACACAATTGGGATTCATCTTCATCAAATAATAGCCCAACGCCTAATTGCTGTTAATCAGACAAAAAAATACTAAATGTATTCCATTTAAATGTGAAACAAAAATGAGCAAGACTGCCCCCTTGTTGTCGTTAAATTGGTTGTTTTGGTTGTTAGTGACAAAGATTTTTTAAAATTATTGTAAATGCTTGTTTTCCAAGAAACTACTAAACCCCCAACACAAGATTTAAAAGTGGTGTAATTGCATGCTTATTTCTGGAGAAACTAAATAAATAGTCAACAAAGACAATATGACAAGAACAAAATAGCCAGCAGACATCATAGCAAAATGACCACATTAACATATTTTTCGTAATTCCTCCCAGAATTTAAAAGTAGACTGTGTAACATCGTGCCACCCAGTCTTCAAAAATACATAAGCAATGAATGAATGTTGTTAAAAGGTTCACCTTCAGCAGGTAAGGGTCCAGCACCAGCCTTGTGACCCTCACTTTGGCAGTTTTGTACATCTTTGTCCCTATTACTCTGCCAATGATCCATTTGGCATGGACTGATGCATGCTTCACCGACATACTGAAAATCTGGGTCCAACCCTGTAGTACAGGAGAGACGATGAGAAGTTAAAAACAGGCATTATCTGAAACATGATGATCAGATGAAGGCTCAGTACCTCTTGTTTAAACTAAATTTCGGGATACACAAGAATAATAAAATATCCTAAGTCAATACAATTAAAAATATAAGAGTCAAGAAATGTAAAAAATCTGATATTGTTGTATTAATAACAGTTTTTTTCTGAATTAGGAAATGTATTTAAAAGCTGTTAGTAATTATGGAAGTCTACATATTATAATAACGAACCTCTATTGCGTTTATATGTATTGCAGTATTAATCAATCAGCACTGAAAGGCATAGCGGCTCGGTCCAGTTTGCAAAACATCAACAAAAACAGTCTGTATTAATAATATCATAATTTTACTATTGTGTCAACGTCAGATTACAGGAGGCTACATGGTTAGCCCTGCTGCAGCTAACGTTAGCTTTCACTTTACCACCGCATTAATTCTATTGCAGGAATTTAAAATGACACCCACTTTATTTGAAAATAACAAAGAAATACAATGAAAATATATTGTAAAAAATCAACTCACCGAAACGACTTAAAAGGAATAAATTCAGAAGGTCAAAAATGCTCCAGAGCGGATCCTACATGCTGCTCAGGTCGGCTTGTTTTGATGACGTAAACTACGGCTGGCAACAAGGGACATTCCGCGCGATGTTTACATGCACAAATTAAAAAGATAATTACATTTTAATAACATGAGATTAAATGTATAAAGTATACTGTCAACTAATGTTGATATTATGGATTATATGGACGCTGTTAAAATGAGTTTTTCATCAAAGCAAGACATTTTAAATGACTGATTAATGAAGTTTTCACTTTGGCCACCAGATGGTAGCAGACATCACTTCCCAAACAAAAGCCTAAAGAAGATAAATATATTCATTATTTTTGATTGGCTCAACCAGAAGTGCAGATGAGACTTGAGGGGCTTTGAAAACATTTCATCCACCCCAAAGGAAAAAGAAAATTAGTATCAATAATAAGTCAACATCCACAATCATTATGGTGCAAAGAAAACTAAAGCATGTATGACACAAATAAATTGGTATTATGAAAGCTGAAGGTGACCCTGGAGTGCACAAATTCTTCCCTTCAGGTTATCTCAAGATCACTTGGAACTCTCCTCACTCTTGGGAAATCTAATTTGTTTTCTTAAAATATAATTCAGGTTTCTTGTTATGCCAAGATCACTATCGTGAGCATGCATATGGATGCTTTGGACAACGCCAATTTTTTAAGGATATCCATCAAAGTTGATGATTACTTTTCTGTCAATTCACTCCAAATAATATAATAATCTTGTTAACTTGTAAATAAATACCCTTAGTTTTGTTAACAAATAATTATGAGAAAAAACAACCTTTGATTTTGATATCAGGATGGATGGAAAAGATGAATCCTTAAAAAAATCGGTATGATGGAATATTAATAATCCTCTAATAATTATTTTGGCTTTTATTTGTGATGCTTTTATACCAGACTTCTGTTCAAGGACAACAACATAACCATTACACTACCCAGCCGTTTGCCAATGGTTCTTTAATGGATCTTCACTAAAGCAGGTATAAGTGGCTGAAAAGAGGGAGAGCTTAACATTGATGCTTTCAAACCACAAAGTTAACAGTGTTGAACATGAGTAAGAATTGGCAGTGGCTCAGAGCTAACCACAGGCAGAGCGATCTGGTCCTAATCAGAGACATGTTGTAGGAAAGCGCAGGTCTGGGTCTCTGTTTCCCATTTAAGGCAGTGCAGCATTGGTATACTTCTGCCAGAATTACACACTGAGAACACTGAGACAATTTACATTTCCCCCACTGTTTTCATAGTGTTCCCTGTTAAACAAACGTGTTGTCTCATATGACGTAAGGCTAAACTGATATTGGGGAGTGTTCCACATTGCCACCACCAAAAAACATGTATTTAGAGGAATATAAAATAGCGAGTGTGTTATATTTAACTTTTAATATTTAAAAAAGTACCAGCTGCTTAGGTCTTATCAAATATGCGGGTAGGTGTATATCACATGGTATCAATTGCCATATTGCAATATTTTCCCAAAGATAATCACATACATACCTAATGCTGTCTATGTTTTTTGATATGAGAAATGATATGGTCTAAATCATGTGAAACCATGGCTGCCGTGACATAACACAGAGGCCCGATATTACATAGACCGTGTGATTACACATGTATGTTTTCTATGATAACACACTGACCCTTTAATCAGCCATTTCTACATGTTCATGCTTGATTAACATGCTAGAATAATGTTGGCCCACATCCCCCTGTGTCAATTATTAGTCTCCAGATATGACATACAGTATATCAATAGATTACACTGTTCAACCAGAGTGTTTGTGTTTCACTTTGAATAAATCTATTGTTGAATTTAAATCAGCCCTTAGGACCTGAGCATGGGGTCGTTTTAAAGCTGCGAAGAATTGCGGGATTGTATTGAGGAAATACTCGGAAAATTTGGTTATGAGAGAATGTTTTCTTGTTTTTCAAAGTTTAAACGAAGGTCACAATATCCCACAGAAAGAAGCTGGGACTGTTTTGCTTAAACGTATCTCCTTAAACAGCAGTTCTACATAGGCCGTATACTCCCACCAAACTCTACCAATGAAATGCTTTATAAATTGCTATGGTTAGGCCATGCTTTGGATTAAGTTTACAATGTGTACTTCAACCCCATCTGAAGTTTTGAGTCTGAACCAAAAGACAATAACTGAAGGCAGTATGAATCAAAGCGTCTCCATGAAGGAATTCATGATGTTACTCTTCTTTGTGCACACAAGAAGCGTGATGTAGTGGAAGAAAAAAAAATAGGCATCTAGGAAATAGAAGTTGGAACCTGTCCTACTGTCACACCTTTGCGAACCTTGCAAATGGATGTTTTACCTTAAATAAAGGTTATTGTTGCACGACTCGGAAATTGGGTTTTATAAGCTTTTGGACTTTAGGCACTTTCTTTTTGTTCTGAGACCTTTAGTGTTGGCTTAGCAGCTGCAGAATGTAAGACTTGCATACAGCCTGAAAGGAAAGCCTACCTGGTAGGCAACTAAGGAGAAAAAAATCCCCTCAACTTGGCCAACATTCAGAAAAGCTTGATTGTAAATCAGGATAATGACACACATTTAAATCTAAGAAGAGTCTTAAGATCCTAAATGGAGTGATAAGGGTGCATATACAACCTGGGACGGATCTAGATATGATGCCGTGTATTCCTTACCGCGTGTGCAGTCTGTGAAAACGATGAGGTCACGCAGTCTTTGCTTCATCCAGCTTCCAGCATTGAGGGTGAAAAGGTGAAAGCGAGATAGCCCGATGATGGCAGAAAAAAGCGAGGAAGGGCGAGGCATGGTGGGCAGGAAAAAGCTCAGCAACGCTAACATTTGTGGGTAATGTGAAAGGGCGGAGAGTCAGAGATTGGCTAACTAATGTGTTTGTTTTTACGGTGGATGGACTACAGGGTTAATGTAAGTATTCCCCGTTTGGGCTGCAGCCAAAAATGTACACGGAGCTGGTGATGATTAGACAGAGGTGGTTATCCCGGAGGCCCTGTTTGTCTCCTGCTATCTGTGCACCTTCTCCCATCCTTTGTTCTCCTCATTACTGTTTGAGTGTTGGTTTAACCCCCGTTACTGAGGATTTGTCTTTAAACAACAAGCAGCGGCACGTGGCAGATAGTCATGAGCAGAGTTCACAAAGCGCCATCGCTAAAAAAAACATGTTTGTTCGGCTTTGTATTGTTTTGTGATAAGATTAGATCATTTTGTTCGGTGCCCCTTACGCTTTCTACAGTATAGAGCAAATATTTACTTAAATGTTTAACAAAATATTATCAAAGTTAGATGAGAAAAATGTGGTGTTTAGAATGAAATATATGAAAAACAGAGCGTAAGATGCTAAAAAAAAACAAGATAGAGGTATTTGAGCAATGAGGTGAACATGTGACTACCCCACTTGAAAAATAAATCCAACACATATTGCTTAACTTAACTCACACATGATGCACACTTACCCAAATACCATCAGGTGGTGTACAGGGATAGTATTAGTGGAAATCACAATTAGTTTACTGCACCAATGGGTTGTTGTGATAAGTTGCCAGTATTTATCACTACAATAGCTGTGATATTAAACAAATTATTATCACAGGATTTTATGTTAAAAAGGCACATATGATAATTTTGTGTAAGCAAATCCTCCTCCATAGGCCCTTTGGTGCAAGTCATCCCATCCTTCTCCCTGTCATCCTGCATCTCTCTTTCCTAAAAAGAGCATTAAAAACCACAAAAAACGTTGCTGGAAACAAGTTCTACATTTTTCATGTATTTTAATTCCTGACACAACTACAGTAAGCACAATCCATATCCCCACTGTTAGGTCACCACATCCAGTATGGACATAAGTCATCTTAAAATCAACTTATGTATTTAAGGACTTAACATTTAGCAATTTCACATGTATGATGATGACTCCTATACCTCAGCTAGTATTTGTCAGAGTTGAGAGCGTTTTAACTGAGCTCCACTCTTTGACAGCGTGACACTGTCACAACACCCAACATCCTGTCTTTTCTTTGGCCTTCACACCACATTGCCATCATACAGAGCATTACAAAGTGCTGTTGTAGTGTGTTCTCACTCTCCTGCCTCTTAAAACACTTGTTGCCACGGCTGATGACGATAAATAAAAGAAAACTGTTTATTTCATATTTCGCACGCGAGTGAACGTGAGTTGAATGTGTCCCCATGCTGTTTATGCTGCTGTGTACAGTCCTCTGTCTGTACCATGATGGACGTGAAGCTATTACATCAACATGCTGCTCTGGGTCCTCAGGGAGGGGTGCATAAATCATACCAAATAGTGTACAGCTTTTCTAGATCATTGGCAGATTAAAGATTCATGTTCTCTGTCTTTTGCATTCTCTACTATCAGAAGAGAGGCTGTGACACAGCATGCCTGTTTAGTTTGAAGAAACACTGTGACATCTCAATGTAGTTGGCATTTTAATATCTTGTGTTGAATCATTGTAGATTGTTCCGTATTCGGTGTTGTCATCACACATCAACTTACATCATCTCTTTCAGAGTGTAGGTGTAATGTGAGAAAAAGGTTTCAGTCTGCACATAAACTGGTGCATACAGTTGTCTAATGAACGTAGTTGAACTATAATATCTCTCAAAATATTTCCATTCCTATTAAATGTGTAATTTTCCTGTCTCTCCCTTCATTTTTCCTGTCTATATTTACCATGTTAACTTTAAAAAAAGTAAAGTACAAGTAACTCAATGATGCACTAGAGTACTGATAAAATGCACTAAACAAAATATATTATAATGTACAGTACTGGTGGAAAGAAACATGCAGAAACAGGGTGGAGTTTCAGTTTCAGTATTCGGGCCATCTTGGGGTCTTCTGGGTTTATGAGGATGCTGACCGTGTAATGAAAGATCCCCATTTCTAATTTGTTTGTTGACCTTTGTTGAATCCTTCCTCTCTCGCCTCATTTCCTGTAATCTCTCTGCTGTCATCTTTAAAACAATGTAAAACATAGTTTCTTATGCTATTATATTATTCTTGTGTTTGCAGCTTTAGCTAAAATGTATTTTGATAACAGCATGACAAGTTTAGAAAA